GGGAAGGGAAGGAAAGGAAAGGAAAGGAAAGGAGGAAGGGAAGGGAAGGAAAGGAAAGGAAAGGAAAGGAGGAAGGGAAGGGAAGGAAAGGAAAGGAAAGGAAAGGAGGAAGGGAAGGAAAGGAAAGGAAAGGAAAGGAAAGGAAAGGAGGAAGGGAAGGGAAGGAAAGGGAAGGGAAGGAAAGGAAAGGAAAGGAAAGGAAAGGAAAGGAAAGGAAAGGAAAGGAAAGGAGGAAGGGAAGGGAAGGAAAGGAAAAAGGAGAGGGGAAGAGACGAGAGGAAAATATCTGCCAGTCTTGACTTCCTTTAATTTTTAATTTGATCCAAACTCCGCAGAGGAAATGAGACAAGACAGATTCAGCCCCACAAATAATTCAAAGTAGAAACAAGGAAGAATTTCCTGGGAGAACAATCAGCCGATGGAAGAGAAGTTGCCTTCGGAAGTTGTGGCAGCTTCATCCCTGGAGGCTTTCGAGAAGAGACTGGAACTGACATCTGTCAGAAATGGTGTAGGGTCTCCTGCATGGCTGGAGGGGTGGGTTGGACTAGATGACCTACAAGATCCCTTCCAACTCTGTTAAAACAAGAAGTGGCTTCCGCGAAGGAGCCCTGCAGCCACGCCAAAGCCTTTTCTGCTTTATCCAGGTGTGGTTCCCCTTCTCTTGGGTTACCTGAAGTCAATTCCCATCACTCACCTCAATACAGCCCAGCATAGGGAAGATCCTCGCTGTTGTAGCCTTGGAGCCAGGTGTGTGGGAGTCTTATCGATAAACAGCAGGTAGAAACGTTTCTGGCACTACAACAGTGGCTCCTTTTCCGAAGGCTTTGGCTGCAAACACAGCAGCAGCGGCTTTTCAAATAAGGGTGTTTTTCAAACCCTTGTTTCCAGGGCGTCTCTATCGGTGCCGCAGATCACCCCAAGGGATGAAACGTGTCGTTATAAAGTGAAAGGGATTTGGGTTAGTTAGGATCGATCCCTTCCTTAGTCTCGGCCTCCCCTGCCTGGCATCTGCTTTCCCCTTAAAAGCAGCTAGGATAAGGCACGTGGGAGTCCCTGGCAGGCAAATGCCTCATTCCCACTCTGAAACGAAGCGACAAAGAGTTGTGAAGTCAATTCTCGGCTGTGGAATGGTGGTTAAAAACGATGCGTGGGAGTTAAGTGTACGATAAGGTGTTTGTTTACCGAATGCATTTGAAAATCTTCTCTTCCCACCCCCATAACCACCCCGGCTTTCAGAAACCTGAGGATGATTAAGTCTGCAGAGATTCTCCATCCTCCCGGTTGTAGTTGTCCCAAATGGTGCTTTTTGTCAGGGTTCCAACAAACCCTCCTCATTCAAAGCAAAAGTCGCTAGCGCATCTCAGAAAAAGTAAATTGGTTTAATAGAAATCGCCATGTTGGCTGCTTGGCTGGGTGCAGCCGGTACTAAATCACATCAGACATTTCCCCCTTGACCCTGGTCTTTGACCCTGGATGTGACTTCTCCAATAGGACACTTCCCTCTCCAAGAGTCATCCATCATGCTCTCCAATCACCTTCTTACGCTCCGACAACTTTAGGCTGCTGAGTTGATTATCTAGGCATTTCAAGAATGCCTTGTTTTTCCCACACTCCCTTTTTCTGGCAGCTAAAAAGACCAAAGGAGTATCTTTTTAGCTGACCCTTTTTTTAAAAAAGAGGCAACTGGACTTTCTGGTTTTTGTTTTTTCTTTTGAAGACATTTCGCTTCTCATCCAAGAAGCTTCTCCAGCTCTGACTGGATGGTGGGGAAATGGAAGGATTGATATTCCTTGCAGACAGCTGGTCATTTGCATCCTTTTTAGAGGGTCGTTGAGGCCACTTGGAGGTTTATCTGTCTCCTCAGAGTCACCCGAGTGGTGCTTCTGGTTCCTGTAGTCTGTAATTTTTCCCTCTGGAAATCCATTCCTTCTCCCACACCATTCCAAGGGCGTTTCATCCCAAATTGTATAGCTTAAAGTCTGTAGAGATTCTTAAGTCATCCAGGTTGTAGTTGTCCCAGAGTTGCTTTTTTCAGGAGGCAACTGGATTTTCTGTTTTTTTCTTTTTCTTTTGAAGACATTTTGTTCCTCATCCAAGAAGCTTCTTCACCTCTGACAAGATAGTGGGGAATGGGAGGAATTATATGCAAGATTTATGTCTGCAAGGAATATAAATCCTTCCATTCCCCACCATCCAGTCAGAGCTGAAGAAGTTTCTTGGAGGTTAAGCGAAAGGAAGAAAAAAACACCACCTTTGGGTCAAAGGAAGGTAAGGCTGTCCGTTGCCTTTGTGGTCCGAAAGGCCCATCATCAGCAGAGGAAAACCAGAAGGGGAGAAAGGAGGAAAGAAAGAGGGCCGGGTCTAAAAGTGACAGAGCTCACTTCACGATCATGGCCAGATTTAACATTGAGCCGTTGTGTGAATTGGCACCGTGAGCAAATCCAGCCAAGTGCTGCGTATTCAGGCAAGCTATGATTAGATAAGCTTTGGCTTAGTATCTCAGGAACAATCTGACAGGACGGCACGGCTAAGCTTTGACGGAAAAGAAACGGAAGGCAACTGGCTTTTCTCTTTAAAATACAAATGTTCTCTTCCCCAATTTAAACTTGACACTGCCTCACTCTTTCAAACCACTCCTTGTAAGCCTTGATTTATAGCCTAGCTATCCTAGTCCCCAGATACGCCCTTCCAAAGATGG